GAAGCCATATACTGTAAAACAGATTTTTACTCACTCTGGGGTACCAACCTAAATATGCTAGTATTATTTCTATACTATTATAGCATTTATTAATGTTTTGAATTAGCTTTCATTTTTGCATTTTGAGTTTTCATTTTAATTTATGTTTTAGTAATTTTATTACGAGTTTTTGTCCTTTTTATAATATATTTTTTTAATTCTACACTCTAAAAAATGCTGGGTTAAATGCAACCCAGCGTTGGGTAAAATATGGACAAACCCAGCGATTGGGTTCTTTTGACCCAGCAGTTGGGTTAAATGTTTAACCCAACCTACTGGATAGTAACCCAAATGCTGGGTCAAAACAACCCAATTGCTGGGTTTGTCCATATTTTACCCAACGCTGGGTTGCATTTAACCCAGCATTTTTTAGAGTGTATATAACTAATTATTTTTTGTTTCAGTTTTGGTTTTAGTACTTAAACTTATTTTATTTCAGTTAGTTGCCAAGGCAAGTTTTTTTTTTTTTTTACGTTTTTTCATCTAATATTTATATTTTATTTTATTTCAGCTTTATTTCAATAACCAAAAATTATTTTTAATGTTTTTAGTTAACTATAAAAAGAGATAGTTCACCCAAAAATGAAAATTCTGTCATCATTTACTTTTTGGTGCAATAAATCTTGATTAGCATTACAAGTGGAAAAAATACATAAAGTGCTATGAATGTGCAGAAAATGACACCTTTAAATACTCTGAGTCAAGTCAAAATGGACCCTGATTTCTTTAACATCCAAAACATTTGTGCCATATCAAAGCTGTCTTTCCAATATTATAGACTGGGAAAAACAGGAACTTCTGATATTGCATTCATAAAGAAGCTCATGTGATTAAACAGTCTGCTCTGCACTGAGCAAAGGAAGCAAACGCACTAATGTGGTGTGTGGTAGAAGGGGGTTGGATTTATTTTATTTCAGCTTTATTTCAATAACCAAAAATTATTTTTAATGGTTTTAGTTAACTATAAAAAGAGATAGTTCACCCTCATCATTTACTTTTTGGTGCAATAAATCTAGATTAGCATTACAAGTGGAAAAAATACATAAAGTGCTATGAATGTGCAGAAAATGACACCTTTAAATACTCTGAGTCAAGTCAAAATGGACCCTGATTTCTTTAACATCCAAAACATTTGTGCCATATCAAAGCTGTCTTTCCAATATTATAGACTGGGAAAAACAGGAACTTCTGATATTGCATTCATAAAGAAGCTCATGTGATTAAACAGTCTGCTCTGCACTGAGCAAAGGAAGCAAACGCACTAATGTGGTGTGTGGTAGAAGGGGGTTGGAAAGAAGGAAGGATGATCGGGTTGCAGAACGAAAAGGGGAAGATAACAGATAGATCTGGCTGAAAGAGAGAAACAAAATAGTTCACCCAAAAATGAAAATTCTGTCATCATTTACTTTTTGGTGCAATAAATCTTGATTAGCATTACAAGTGGAAAAAATACATAAAGTGCTATGAATGTGCAGAAAATGACACCTTTAAATACTCTGAGTCAAGTCAAAATGGACCCTGATTTCTTTAACATCCAAAACATTTGTGCCATAACAAAGCTGTCTTTCCAATATTATAGACTGGGAAAAACAGGAACTTCTGATATTGCATTCATAAAGAAGCTCATGTGATTAAACAGTCTGCTCTGCACTGAGCAAAGGAAGCAAACGCACTAATGTGGTGTGTGGTAGAAGGGGGTTGGAAAGAAGGAAGGATGATCGGGTTGCAGAACGAAAAGGGGAAGATAACAGATAGATCTGGCTGAAAGAGAGAAACAAAAAGAGAGAAAGAGTAATGGATGAGTTTCAGGGCAGCAGAGACAGTGGTAGATGTTTAGAGGCTGGAGGTTAACCACAACATCCTCAGCACAGTGGAGGGGACTTGGAGGGAACCGTCCAAAATAGAGGGAGGCTTTTTATGGTGCATGAAACACCCATATTATATCATTTCATCACTGCGCTGTTCATTTCCTCTGATGTGCGGAGTTTGAGGGGGACAGGGAGAAAATGAGGGGACGGGACTATAAAGAGACGGGAAAGATGAGGAATTCCCCCATGTGCTCATCCTGTGGTCAAGTCCTAACATGACACACTTTAGTCAGGGTGAAGGGTGCATATATTTGTATGTACAGGGGGTAAATTTCTAAGTAACCATTCCCAGCATACCCCTGAATACTGAATTATAAACACTGGCGACAGTTATATAGGGTAAAATGGTCAAATGCAATTATATGAAAGATAATAGGTGATTGTCTCAAGACAGTCTTGATCGTATTCAAAACCATCTGTTTTTAACAGATCCATGCAAAAGGTCCAACACAGAGACAAGCTCTTTTGTTCTGGTGCAGAGAAGGGAATTCAAATCAGATGTGATGGACTCTTTTCACATGTGTTTTGTCTATAAGAATGAGACAATATGTCATGTGTCAAATGTCAAATGTCAAAATT